AAGATTAACACAGAGTTGGACATGAAAACCTGTGCAAAAGTACATCTTATAAATACCAACCTGTATAAAAACTGTAAATGTAAAAAAAAAAAATCAAGCAAAATATAAAGCATTTATTTGATTGCTGGCACTCCTTGGCTCATAGATCTATCACCCGAATCTCTGCCTCTGTGGAAATAGGACATTTGTGCTGCATGTCTTCACATCATGCCTCTGCGAATGTCTTCTTTTTTGAGAAGGACACCAGTCATATTGGATGGGGGCCCACCCTACTCCAGTATGACCTCATCTTAACTTTGCTAATTACATCCGTCATAACCCTATTTCCAGAAAAGGTCACACTCTGAGGTTGTGGGAATCACATGATTTCGGGGGGACTATTCAGCTTATTGCAAGCAGAATTGAAGGAGCAACTGATATAAGGTCCCTTCTGTAACAACTGATGGAGGCCTCAGATTACCAGCCCCCGCAGAGTCTAGAGAGGTAGGGAAAGGGAAGGCAAGGCTGATTGGGAGCTCACTGTCTTTTGTCATATCTGAGAATTGTCATAAATTTCCTCATTTCAATCATTTCTCAAAGCAGCATCCATAAATCAACCCCAGGGACCTTATACAATCCATGTGCACTTACTGTTGTTCAAAGTACTTTCCTATCCAATATTCCACCAATCACTCCAATAACAGGTTGTTTATGAAAAGACACTACAGGCACAAGGACCAGAGCGGTGAAAGGTCAGTGGGAATGCTAGAATCCATTTCTGCTTGTAGTTAGGTACCCGGCCCCAAAAGCTATCCAGGAGGCCTTGCTGCAAGTTATAGCCACTCCATGATAAGAAGTATCTGCCAGAGCTGAGGCCAGGGGAATAGAACTGGCTCAAGAGGAAGCCAGCACCCCACACGTGAGGACACAGGATCAGTACTGAGCCCACCCCTACAGCATGCACGTGTGCAATAGCTTTACCTCCCTCCTCTTCAGCTAGACCCTAACTCTTTCTGGCAACCACTGTGGGATGAATTAGTAAGTGCTTGCCCTATGATTGACAGAAAAAGCCAATATCGGGAGATACTTGGAAAACAGAATGAAGGTATGACAAAAATAATCATCATTGGTTGTTTTGAGGTTTTTTTGTTTGTTTGTTTGAGACAGGGGGACTCATTGTGTTGACCAAGCTGGAGTGCAGTGATGCAATCTCAGCATGCTGCCACCTCTGCCTACCAGGCTCAATCAATCCTCCCAGCTTAGCTTCCCAAGTAGCTGGGACTACAGGCATGTGCCACCGGTTTGTATATATAAATTTTTTGTTTCATCATATTGCCCAGGCTGGTCTCCAACTCCTGGGCTCAAGGGATCCACCCACCTCAGCCTCCCAAAGTGCTGGGATTATAGGCATGAGCTACCACACCCAGCTTGATCATTGTTTTTTGTTTGTTTGTTTTTCAAAGGCATCCCTGCAGCATCAGCCCATAGAACAAATAAGCTTCATCTCAGCCTCAAACAGGAGACTCCTGAAACTGCTGCCAAGTTTTCAAGGCCAGAGCTAACTAAGTCAGAAAACAACCTGAAACCCACTGCCTCTAGGTGATGTTGGCATGCACGTGGGCTGTGACAGGTGTCTGGTGGGGATGCCCAGGTTCATGGGCCAAAGGCCAGTTCACTGTGAGCCCTGGACCAGCACACTCCAGGGGTCCTTTGCAGAGTCACTTCCGATGCTCTGAGGGTGTTTCTCCTGACACCTTACAGTTACCTTCACAGGAGGCTCTAAAACAGTATCTCTTATTCTTCACCCTTTATGTGTCTTGCCCTGTACTTCCTTTATTAACCCAGGTGTTCATAGTGACAGCTTCATCAAATGAGTTTTGATTTGATGTCTCCAGAATCTGACAACAGACTGGTATTTGTATTTTTAACCTTATAGGCTAAAAAAACAATAGTTTCTTCTTTCTTTTCTTTTTAAATTTTAGATTAAGTGGGTACATGTGCAGGTTTGTTACACGGGTATACTGTGTAACACTGAGATTTGGGGTTCTAACAATTCCATTGAAAAATGACACTTTATTGAATTCATAAATGTGTGCAGAACTTCAAAAGCATAAGTGGTTAAGCACTACTTTGTTTGTCACTTTACCATCGAATAGCATCCATATTCTTTGGTGAGCAGACATAGCAGCCCTGCCTACCAAAATAAGAAGGGTTCCCTTAATGGGCATTAAACATTGCCTTCCTTAAGACAGCAGGACTGAGTTACTGCATTTAGAAGCATGCCATCAAGGAGAGGCAGCTCTGAGTTTTCCATGCTGTGAACAGGTTGATAAGTGGTGTCTGACTTATGAAGACAGTTTGTCAACTTTTGAGTGTGGATTTTAAAAAAGTGATTTAGAGGCAAATTCATAATTACTTGCTTTCAGTATAAAATTATTAATCTTGGGTAGCTGGGGGAATTTATGGAGCTTGTCAGCTCTCTCAACTGATGACTTTTATGAATTACCTAATAGTTGATTACTACTCCCCCCCACTGCAGTAACATTCATTAAATTAACACCTAGTTTTACAGGCAGAAGTAACCTCAGGACAGCCGATGTCCAATTTTTGCCTGCGAGCTTTGGAGAATGTGAGAGTCAAGGCTGTTTCCACCTGTATGCTGACTCTGTGGAGCAGGTGTTCCCAACCCCACAGCCACAGACTGGTACTGGCCCACGGTCTGTTAAGAACCTGGCTGCACAGCAGGAGGTGGGCAGCAGGCAAACAGGCAAATGAGTAAAGTTTCTCCTGTATTTACAGCCACTCCCCATCACTCGCATTACCACCTGAGCTCCGCCTCCTGTCAGATCAGTAGCCACATTAGATTCTCATAGGAGTGTGAACCCTATTGTGAACTGTGCATGTGATGGATCTAGGTTTGTGCTCCTTATGAGAATCTAATGCCTGATGATCTGTCACTGTCTCCCATCAACCCCAGATGGGATGGTCTAGTTGTAGGAAAACAAGCTCAGCTACATTTTGGTGGGTTGTATAATTATTGTATTATGTATTATAATATAATAATAATAGAAATAAGGTACACAATAAATGTAATGTACTTGAATCATTCCAAAACCATCCCCCCTCACCCTAGGTGCAGGGAAAAATTTGTCTTTGTCAAAACTGCTCCCAAACGTTGGGGACCACTGCTGTAGAGTATGAGGAACACTCCCTAGGAATTATAATCTGAAGACTGTTCTTTATATGCATACAATGTAGAATGATTATATCAAGTCAATTATAAGTCACATAAGTCAATTATAAGTAATTATAAGTAATTACTTATTAGTCAATTATAAGTCAATTAATTAGTCAATTAGGCAATTAATTAGTCAATTAATTAGTCAATTAATTAGTCAGTTATAAGTAATTATAAGTTATATAAGTCAATCCAGCACCTTATATACTTCTCAGTTTTTGTGATTAAGAACATTAAAGCTCTGCTCCCTTACCAAATTTCAAGTATACATTACCATTAACTACAGTCACCATGTTGTACAATGGATCTCCTGAACTTATTTCTGCTGTCTAACTGGAACTTTGTACCCTTTCACCAACATCTCCCCATTCTTCCACCTGCACCCTCTGCCTCTGGTAACCGCCATTGTACTGTTGTTTCTATGAGTTCTTAGAGTCAGTATTTTGAATCTTTCAGATACACTCATTCATTGACAGCAGATTGGTGACTAATCTCAGATGCCTGTCAAGAAATGACTTTTTAACAAGTGGGAACACTGATGTTTCCTGCTGTTCCATTGCTGGTTGGTTTTGAAATCAGAGACTTGGGTGTGAATACATGTACCATGCAGGAGAGCCTATGCATATGAAAGAAACCAGAGGAGAGGTACTAGAGAAAGCTAGTTACCACTTTAATGAGAAGGACTAGAGAAAGCCAGTTATCACTGTCATGAGAAGGACAGAGAGAGCCCATTATCACTTTCATGAGAAGGACTACAGAAAGCTAGTTATCACTTTCAGGAGAAGGGCTAGAGAAAGCTAGTTATCATTTTCATGAGAAGGACTAGAGAAAGCCAGTTACCACTTTCATGAGAAGGACAGAGAGAGGACAGAGAGAGCCCATTATCACTTTCATGAGAAGGACTAGAGAAAGCTAGTTAACCACTTTCATGAGAAGTTTGTTAGGAAAGGAAAGAATAATGTTTTACTTGAGGGTATTCAGAAATGAAAGGATTTTGCAGGAGCTCAGCCCTTAAGAATGTTTTCAGAATGGAGAGAGGAACTTTAGAAAAAGGACAAAATCAAAGGCAACAGTGAGGGGAAAACGGACGAACTCAGCCAACGCAGGCGATACCCCTGCTGCCCACGATGCAGCAGTGGGAGTATATGAAGCCAGAAAGAGCTGAAATTCCCTTCATTGTATCTACAGCTAAACATCTTTTTCTCCAAATTAGGTTCGATGAAAAATTGTTCAACAAACACCAAAAGGCAGCATCATTGAACAGAGAGATAGCGCATCTCAGCACTGAAGCTCGGGTAGCAATCGATCAACCAACAGAAAGCGCAAAACTTACTTTAAATTTTTGCACATGTCTGATTATGATGAAGAACATTCTGATTTGTTTATGTGCTTTGTCATAACAGAATTAATTAATTTACTGTACCAAAACCTTTGTCTCTCTCTATATCCATCAGATATCCCTGAACTGGCTCAAGTATACCAATCAGCATAAAAAAATCTCTATTGTGGGCATGGTGACTCATACTTGTAATCTCAGCTCTTTGGGAGGCAAGGTGAAAAGATTGCTTGCCAGGGGTTCAAGACCAGCCTAGCCAACATAGCGAGACCGTCTCTCCAAAAAATTAGCTAGAAATGGCGGCACACGCCTATGGTCCCAGCTACTTGGGAGGCTGAAGTGAAAGAATCACTTGAGCCCAAGAGTTTGAGGCTACAGTGAGCCATGAATGAACCACCGCACTCCAGACTGGGCAACAGAGTGAGACCTTGTCTTTAAAAAAAATATTTAAGACCGGGCATGGTGGCTCACACCTGTAATCCCAGCACTTTGCCAAGGTGGGTGGATCACTTGAGGTCAGGAGTTCGAGACCAGCCTGGCTAACATGGTGAAACCCTGTCTCTACCAAAAAAATTCAAAAACTATTCGAGTGTAGTAGCATGTGCTTGTAATTCCACCTACTTGGGAAGCTGAGGCATGAGAATCACTTGAACCCAGGAGGCGGAGGTTGCAGTGAACCGACATCATGCCTGGGTGACAGAGTGATATCCATGGTAACAGCCAGTGAGAGGATGACAGTCTGGGTGACAAAGTGACACCCTGTCCCAACTCCCCCCCAAAATATATATATATATACACACACACATATATAAAATATATATTTTTAAAAAATTAAAACTATATGTTGTATAAAATTGACATGTGATGACACAGAAAAGTTCATGTTTCACATTACTTGCTTATGAATTAAATCAACACTACTATTTCTATAACTATGATTTTATTTTCACAAACAATGCTACATATTATTAATGAACTCCTAAACATATAAATGGCTAAGTGATGTGCCCACAAAAGAGTTTGATCAAGGTCCATCTTTACAAACTACATCAATGGAAGCCAAGTTGGGTAGACAGAATCACAGCCCCCAAAGATGTCCACATTCTAGTACTCTGATCCTGAGTATGTTTCCTTCCATGGCAAAAGGGATTTTGTAGATGTGATTATGTTAAGGGTTTGGGGATGTAGAGACGATCCTGGATTATCTCAGAGGGCCAGGAGCAACAGTTTTGCCAGTATGATGAGGTAAGTTTTTAAAGAAAAATGATACACGCTATGGGAAAATTATTTTCATAGAGGCAAAATGGGTAGACTGTAGATCTAACAGAGTTTTGCAGAAAACGACACCAGTGTCAAGCCAAATCCAATAATCTAAGCCACTAGTCTTCAAACTGGGGCTCACCTATTGATATGGTTTAGCTGTGTCCCCACCCAAATCTCATCTTGAATTGTAGCTCCCATAATCCCCATATGTTGTGGGAGTAACCTGGTGGGAGGTACGTGAATCATGGGGGTGGTTTCCCCATGCTACTCTTGTGTTAGCGATTAAGTTCTTGCAAGATGTGATCGTTTTATAAGGGGCTTCCTCCTTCACTGGGTTCTCATTCTTCTGTCTCCTGCTGTCATGTGAAGGACATGTTGCTTCCCCTTCTGCCATGATTGTAAGTTTCCTGAGGCCTCCCCAGCCATGTGGAACTATGAGCCAATTAAACTTCTTTTCTTTATAAATTACCCAGTCTTGGGTATTTCTTCATAGCAGTGTGAGAATGGACTAATACACCTACTTGTAGAGATACACAAAGACATGCTGATGGGGTGCAAAAGGTTGGGATGCTCTAAGGAAATCAATTTCTAGATCTTCCACATCCATGTGTGCTCTGCTCTAAAACCCAGCTGCTGGAGTATGCCGGCTATCTCAGTATTAGTTGGTTTTCCAAGCCCACTCCATTCCTAATCAACTTTCTTCCACTTTGTACAAAAGGCATTCCTCTCACTGGCTGTTACCATGGATATCACCCCTGGCTGTCAAACCCTTTATCCCTGTGATCCTGTGAAATCTTGGTATTCATGGAATATTGGCCAAATTACCCAAGAGTGACTTTAGAGCTAGACTGATCAGGGAGTTATTGGAAAACAATGGAAATTGTTTCAAAGTGCCAGTACAAAACCCACATTCAAAGAATATTCTGAATGGAAAGGAGATAAACTAAGGGACTAGCAAGGAACCAGGTAAGCACAGAAGCTGAGGGTGAGTAGAGAGGCAAGGTAGGAACATGGAAAGAAAATCACAGACTTTTACCACAAAAAGGGAGGTGGTGCTCAGATGTCCAAATGGTGTATTATTGTCAAAGTCCTAAGCATGAGGCTGAAAGGCAGTAACCATGGAGACAGAGTGGAAGTAAATTCAAGAGGTATTTTGGAAACTCAGCCAAACAAACAGATGACTAAGTGGATAAGAGCATGGAGAATAAATGGTTCTAGCCCATGAACTGGATAATGGAGGATCCCACTGATTGAGCGAGGAAGTACTGAAGGTGCAGTCAATCTAGAAAAGAGACACTAAAGAATTTATTTTGATCATATTGAGTTGAGAAAATACTTGTAGCTCATGCTGGAGGAAACAAACAAGGTCACTGCCATTATCATGTACTAAGGGCTAACAATATGCTGGGTGTTATCTTCACTCTGCAGATACTATAACTTGTAATCATGTCATTTGTTCCTTCCCATTTTATAGGTGGAGTGGAGAAGCTGACATGTACAGAGGTGGGGTTTTGTTTTGTTTTGTTTTGTTGAGACCAGGTTTCACTCTGTCACCCAGGCTGGAGTCCAGTGGCATGATCATGGCTCACTACAGCCTCAACCTTCTGGCCTCAGGTTATCTTCCCACTTCAACCTCCCGAGTAAGCAGGACTACAGGCATGCACCACCATGTCTGGCTGATTTTTGTATTTTTTTAAAAATTTTGTAGAGACGGGGTTTCGCCACATTTCCTAGGCTGGTCTCAAACTCCTGGGCTCAAGTGATCCTTCTGCCTTAGTCTCTCAAAGTGCTGGGATTGTAGACATGAACCACTGCATCTGGCTTTTTTTTTTTTTTAACCAGCTCAGATTCTATGTGAAAAAGACAGAATTTGGATCTAGGTTTTCTGATTCTGGAATTGTCCCCACCATCACTCATGATATGAACGCTGTCTCCCTGGATACTGAAACAAAGGGGATAACCAGAAGTGTTAATCATCACAAAGGTATTGATTGGATTTGACAATGAAAATATCAATTCTGACCTTGGAAAAGAAGTTCCAGAAGACGCCAACGCCAGTTAGATGTCAGTAGACATGAAGGCATGGATGTGGACCTGATGGGATCAAGCGTTTTGAGAAGGAAGGTGGCTTTGTGAAGCCAAGTGGGGAATCATCACAGCAGTTTACAATCAGGGCCTGTCTACGGACTGAGTACAACAAGTTAGGGAGGCAGATCTGATGACACTAATTTGGTGTCTGTCAGTTTGTTTGCTTGCTTGTTTGTTCAGAGGTTTTAGAGCAAAATTTCCTACTAAATGTGAGAGGAGCAACTGTGATGTTTGGGATTCCAGGGGAGGGATAAATTTGGGATGCTGAAGAATGCAAAAAGAGGCTTACTCCTTATGAGTAGATCAATCTGACAAGGAATCCCCAAAATGCAGGTGAGGCTGTCAGTCAGCACTTTGGAATGAATCAGGTGAGCACTTCCATGCAATTGTCTCAAAGAACCTCATTACCACTCTTTAGAGTTCAACCCAAAATATGGCAAAATGTCATCCCCTGCCAATTCTTGGTGAGTAAATGTCTGTTATTACAGTTTCAGAAGTTGCATGCAGTTTAAATGGAGGGTAAGGGTGATGGGTTAGTTTTGATGCAGCAGGTATGCTGTCTGGTGAAAGGGCAAGGAGATTGAATCAGGGTAGACCTACAAATGAGGGAATGAAGTTGAGTCTTTTTCTCATCAGTCTTATCAGTACCTTTGGGATTTTGGTCTTCTTAACATTATATATAGAAAGGTAAGCCATTCTTTTAGCCCTTCTTCAACTTCTCAAATATTCTCTTTCAAAGTCTAGGTTCATTAAAGAGAAACCCTATAGGGCCACATTGCTTTCTTTCAATGCTTCTTTTTTTCCCTTCTCTGTTGGATATTTTATGGTTTTGTGATTGTATGTGCAGACATTTCATGTTTGAGTACATCCTAGCACTTGAGCTGTTTCTTCCTCAGACTCCCTGTCCAGGAGATAATACCTATATTTTTATCTGAACAATGCTAAACTCTGTTTTCCCAAACCCCAATGCACATGCCAAACTATGTTGGTCATTTACCATTATAGATTCTAAAACTGTATGGCCACTTTCTCCCAAAGGTTCTACCACTCTCACTTCAACAACCAATCTGTCCTTGCTCATTACAGTCCACTTCAGAGCAATATTTGATCTGCAGGATAAAGTTTTCAGAAAGAAAAGAGTTGATCACAACCCCATTAAAGAGTAAGCAAAGGACATGAACAGACACTTCTCAAAAGAAGACATTCATGCGGCCAGGAAACATATGACAAAAAGCTCAATATCACTGATCATTAGCGAAATGCAAATCAAAACCACAATGAGATACCACCTCATGCCAGTCAGAATGGCAATTATTAAAAAGCTGAGAAACAACAGATGCTGGCAAGGTTGCAGAGAAGTAGGAACACTTTTACACTGTTGGTGGGAATGTAAATCAGTTCAACCATTATGGAAGACAGTATGGTGATTCCTCAAAAATTTAGAACCAGAAATACCATTTGACCCAGCAATCCCATTATTGGGTATATACCCAAAGGAATATAAATCACTCTATTATAAAGATACATGCACGTGTATGTTCATTGCAGCACTATTCACAATAGTAAAGATATTGAATCAACCGAAATGTCCATCAGTGATAGACTGGATAAAGAAAATGTGGTACATATACTGGATGGAATACTATGCAGCCACAAAAAAAGAATGAGATCATGTCCTTTGCAGGGACATGGATGAAAGTGGAAGCCATTATCTTCAGCAAACTAACACAGGAACAGAAAACCAAACACCCCATGTTCTCATTTACAAGTGGCAGTTGAACAATGAGAACACATGCACACAGGGAGGGAAATAACACACACTGGGGCCTGTGTGGGGAAGATAGGTGGGGGGTAGAGCATCAGGAAAATGACCTAATGCATGCCGGGCTTAATACCTTGGTGATGAGTTGATCTGTGCAGCAAACCACCATAGCACATGTTTACCTATGTAACAAAGCTGCACATCCTACACATGTGCCCCAGAACAAAATGAAATAAAGTGAATAACACTGACTGAGAAAAAAAGAAAAGAGCTGATCAGATTTTAAGCTTTTAGCTGGGCAAGACTTCCAACAGGTATCCCACCTGTCAAGTCCCACATCACCAACAGATCAAGCCTCTTACCAATTTTGTTATTTGTAGGTAAGAACTCATTATTCACTGCCTGAACCAGGCCTGGTGGTTTATTGCATATTCCCAAATTATACTGCTTTGGATTTCTTCTCTCTTTTAAAAATACTTACTCAATCATACCCCACATGCTTCCATGTCTAAGTTAAAGCTTTGTGATTTGCTCTTTTTTTGGTACAACTGTGTAATGTGCCAACATTCAGTATATTTCCCTTACTCTTTCTATTAGCTATGTCTTTGAAATAATTATGCACATCTCCAAATGACAGCAGCCTAAGATACACAAGCAATGACAGGTGTTGACTTGCCTATAAGAGAAATCAGTCTTAAGGGGCTAAGTACAGGAATGAATTCCATAGGCGATTTGCAGAAAATGACTGTAATTAGAAGTGGGAAGAGAAGCCAGGCTAAATGGCAGAAGAGGGGTGAGCTGACAGTGCTCAAGCGGAAAACAGGCAGGCATCACGAACAGTGAGGGGCGTGGGGACTTCCAGAACATATGGGTGTTATTTCCCCATGCCTGAGCAATTTCATTCTAGGTCCTTTAAGGATGCTGCTTCTATGGTCCTATAACACAGTTACTGATTATAGGGTCATACTGCAGAGTGATACAATCTGATGATCATCAACATTCCAGAGGGCAAAATTCACATGACCTGTGTTCAAACAAATATGATGAGGCCCAGAAAAATATAACTTCTTAAAAATGTATTCAGGTGGGATGTGGGGATAGGGACTCACAGCAGTGGGCTTGAACAATCTCACTTGGGTAATGAGAACATTCCCAAACTCGTTTATGGTGATGATTGCACAACTTGATAATTTAATAAAAACCAGTGAATTGTACAACTCGGTGAATTAAATGCAATGTAAAATAAACCTCAAAAAACTTGTAAACATGATTTTCATCAATATTATTTAAAGAAAAGAAATAGTTCTAGAGTAGCTGGGAATGCATGGAATTTCTTTAATTATTTAAAGAAGGCCTCTAAGAGTCACCATATTGATCCCTCCAATGGACCTAATCTAATATACAAGTGCCACATATATTCCACAGACACTATTATACCGGGCGAAGCTTCATTTCCTATTAATGTCTGGGCAGTCGCCAGGAGTACTTTTTGCTGGAAAATAATTCGCAATTAGTCATTCAGCCATTTCTATGCTATTATGGCTAATAAAATCCCAAATCTCATCATTTATCAGCTGGGTGCAATTGTGTTTGTTGATGGTGAGGACGTGGGCTTGCAAGAGAGGCTCTTTCCACTGGATATTAGTTAGTCCAGTAAACTCAAGGATAACAGCTCCTCAAACAATTGGAATTTGAATATTCAGAAGCTGGTTGGCCATTGGTTCCATCCTCTGTTCATTTCTGTCCCAAGACCAGGGCGGGCTAAGACTGGGGTTGACATTTTCGGGGAGAAGCTGGGGTTAGAGAGCTGAGAGAGGGCAGGTGGCAACGGAAAAGTCAGAGACCCCTCCTGGAAAACGCTGAGTCCCCACAGACCCTATTTTCTTCTGGCCCTACCTCCAAGTTGAGGCTGAGGAGCAGATTTAGTTCACCAACTCAGAGAGTCTTGGAATTACTGCCGGGATTCTGGGAGCCAGCCAGTCCCAGGAGGCAGAACTGCCCCTGTAGATTTTTATGCTTTGAATAGAGAGCTACCAACAGGTGGCGACAAACTGCAGCCACTCCAGGATGGATTTGGCGGGTTCCTCTGGACCTGGTTTTGCCGAGGCCTCTTGAGTCATTTCATGACCTTGCAATCATGTGACCCTGCATATCCCATGACTGGCTCATTGTACCAGGGGATGGGCAGAGACTGCCCAGCCATTAATAGGAAGTGAAGCATCCCCCAGTACAATGGTGTCTGTGGAATATATGTGGCATCTAATTACATGTTTGATTAGATCCATTGGAGGAATCAATATAGTGACTCTTGGAGGCCTTTGTTAAATAGTTAAAGAAATTCCACACATTCCCAGCAACTCTAGGACATTTTCTTTTTAAAAATAATTTAGGCCTGGTACAGTGGCTCACACGTATAATCCCAGTGCTTTGGGAGGCTGAGGCAGGAGGATCATTTGAGCCCAGGAGTTGAGACCAGCATGAGCAATATAGTGAGACCTCATTTCTACAAAAAATTTTAAAATTTTTTAAATTTAAAAAAATTTAAATTTAAAATTTAATCTAATTTAAATTAAATGGGCATGGTGGGGCACATCTGTAATATCAACTACTTGGGAGGCTAAGGTGGGAGGACTGCTTAAGCCCAGGACTTTAAGGCTGCAGTGAGCTGAGATCGCACCACTTCAATTCAGCCTGGGTGACAGAGTGAAACCCTGTCTCAAAATAATAATTTTGATGAAAAACATGTTTACTTTTTAGAGATCCATTTTACATTGCATCGAATTCACCCAGTTGTACAACTGAATTGTTTTTATTAAATTACCATATTGTTCGACACCCCCTGCATCCCCCCCAACCCAGCATCAGTTCTGGAACACTTCACCCCAGTGAAAGCCTCCATTCCCACTGCTGTAAAGCGCCATTCCTACCTCCTGCCTGTATATATTTTTAAGAAGTCACGTTTTTCTAGGTCTCATCATATTTCTTGGAACCCGCAGTATGGGAATATTGCCCTATTGTCCTCTGGGGTGGTGACAATCATCAGATTGAATTATTCTACAACAAGACCCTATAATCTGTGATTGTTTTATATGACCATTTAATCAGTGTCCTCAAAGGACCCAGAACTAAATTGCTTGGGAATAGAGAAATAAAGCCCATATGTTCTGTAAATTCACATTCTCTGCACTGTTTACAAGACCTGCCTCTTATATGCTTGAGCACTAAGTCAGCTCACCCTCTGTGGTGCCATTTCTGGGAACCACACCCACCCCCTGGCCCCCCAACCAACAAACACATCACCCATGTGTTATAATGAGTTTCTCTAGACTTGATCAGAGCTGTTTTTGACACTGCCTTTTCCAACAGGCTGCAGGGCAAACAAACAAGTCTCAGAAATGCTGATAAGTAAAGGGAGGTTTTGCCAACTGCACCTTCCTAAGCTAAACCTATTTTCTCCTCAACACAAGTTCTGGCAGGAGATACTGTAATTGTGGGATGTTCAATCAAAGGTGAGAATCGTCTATAATGTGAGCACTTTAAAAACTAAGAGATAGTAAAACTTGCTGTGGATAACAGTATGGTGGTTCCTTAAAAAGTTGAATTACCATATGACCCAGAAATCCTACCAAAAACAGGAACTCAGGTATGTGTACATCAATGTTCATAGCAGTATTATTCACAATAGCCAAAAGGTGAAAGACAAAGGGATAAACTGAATGTGGTATATCCATACAATGGAATATTATGCAGCAATGAAAAGGAATGAAATTCTGATACATGCTACAACATGGATGGACCTTAAACACTATGCTCAGTAAAGGAACAGAGAAGAGAAAGGGCAGATGGGAAAAGAAAGGTCAGAGATCCCTTGGAGAGCACTGAGCCCCCAGAGATCCTGTTTTCATCTGGCCACGGGGCGTATAATTCTACTTGTACGAAATGTCTAAAATAGGCAAATTCATAGAGACAGAAAGCAGATTGACAGTTTCCTAGGGGTGGGGGGATGGGAGGAATGTGGAATCACTGTTAAAGGGTATAGGGTTGTTTTCGGTGGTGACAAAAACGTTGTAAACCAGACAGATGGTGGTTTAATGTGGTGAATGTATTCAATATCTCAGAATTGTACACTTTACAATGGTTAATTTTATAAGAATTTCATCTCAATAAAAAAATTCAGAAAAGAGATGATCAAAGCTGAAGCTATTTTGTTAATACTGTAAAGCCTTCTGATGTATGATATCCCCAAAACGCAATGTGGACAAATAAACCCTACTGTGAATGGAAGGACCCTCACTGCCCAGTTGGTAAGCAATTCAACCAAGCCAGCCTGGCACCAGACCTAGGCATCTGTGCTGTTCTTTTAAGGAACATCCTGGGTAAGGACAGAGAGAAAGGAGACTTGAGGGTGCTCGAGGAAGAATTCCCAATCACTGAGAGATAACATCCCATTGCAAGGCCTGGGTGCACGGAAAGGAGGGGCACAGCTCATCTATCATCTAGAGCAACAGAGGAAGAATTTTGATGGGATTCCCTGTGTGCAGGGAAGCATGAGCCATCCCCAGAAACCTGCCCACACATTATGAGGGATGCCCTCTGATCCTGTTTTCAGAGGAGCCACAGTCCCTAGACACATTCCTGAGCAACTGGAAAAAATTACTGTGATGCGTTGCTGGAGACTTTGTCATGACAAGAATAAAATATTCAATTATATAGGGGATTTTTCATGATTTTATTATCATCAAATATAAATCAATGACATTGAAATTGGCTAACTAGAGTCAGGACTGGCAAGCAAAGCCAATCTTACATATCCGTTTCCCCCAGACGTCTGTTTGCCATTAGGTTATCTGGTTCTCAGAACACATTTTTCTCTACATAATAATTCAGTTCCCAGGTGCACTCACACAAAGGCATTTGTGGGAAGTAGAGTTCTAAGATCGCCTTCTGGGTTTCCAGTCCCTGGCACTCACAAGTTTGAGACCAACCTGATCAACATGACGAAACCTCCTCTGTACTAAAAATACAAAAATTAGTTGGGCATGGTGGCGCGCCTGTAGTCCCAGCTACTTGGGAGCCTGGGACAGGAGAGTCGTTGGAACCCAGGAGGCAGAGGTTGCAGTGAGCCTCGATCCTGCCACTGTACTCCAGCCTGGGCGACAGAGCAAGACTGTCTCTAAATAAATAAATAAATAAATAAATAAATAAATAAATAAATTTTTTATCAACAACTTGAATGAGCTTGAAAGAGGACCTAATGCTCTGAGTGAGAACACAGCCAACACCTGGACAGCACCTTGATGGCAACCTCGTGAGACTCTGAGCAGAGAACCCTGCTAAGCGATGCCCAGACTCCTGGCCCACAGTCATTGTAAGATCCTCAATGGGTATTTGTTTTAAGTCTTTAAGTTTGTGGTAATTTGCTCTGCAGTGATAAATAATGACTACAGTATCTAATCCCAAATATACATAAAATAGTACCAACACTGTAAAACTTAAACAGAATGTAAAACCAAGTGTTTTCAAATACAGTGGTGGCTTCCATCTGGAGCGATAGGGAGTAGCTATGGGTCATGTCAATCAGGCTTACAAAGAATTTTCAGCTGGTCTTGAAGACAACCGTTCCTGGTTCATGGTTTTCTCTTTAATTCTGTGAACTTCCCACATATGCAACTGAAAAATCCCTTTCTAGGTTGGAGCAAGGTTGTGCTGGGTCACCATTATGTCTAACTAAAAACCTTCTGAGTCATGCAACCTGTAAGCTCTAGGCACCTGCAGCTATAACCTCCTAGATTAAGTAATTCATCAGTCACACGAGCTAATTTGCAATTGGAAGTTCCTGGAATCCATTTCATATTGCTGACTGTGGTGTCTATTTAGTATCATGTAAATTATTTTATATGATCCAGTCTGCCAATTAAGACAAATGGCTTTGCATATCCCGATCCTTGAGTCATCCATGTGATATCTGGCAACATGGTAGGGTACAAACAAAACTCTGTGACACACTGTATAGATTGCTGGGGTTAGTTTTCCTACCCACAAAAATGGGACTCAAAAATACCTCACAGGGTTGAAATAGAAAAGTATTAAATGAAGCAAAATATGAGATAATGCAGCAAGGTGCAATGGCTTATGCCTGTAATCCCAGCACTTAGGGAGGCTAAGGCAGGTGGGTCACTTGAGCCCAGAAGTTCAAGACAGCCTGGGCAACATGGTGAGACTCCGATTCTACATAGAATACAAAAATTAGTCAGGTGTGGTGGTGTGCACCTGTAGCCCTAGCTACTTAGAAGGCTGAAGTGGGTGGGTCAATTGAGCCTGGGAGGTTGAGGGTGCAGTGAACCATAATCATGCCACTGCACTACAGCCTAGATGACAGAGCAAGACCCTGTCTCAATTTAAAGAGAGAGAGAGAGAGAGAGAGAGAGAGAGAGAGACAGAGAGAGACAGAGAGAGAGAGAGACAGAGAGAAAGAGAAAATACTTTCCGTAAAATATGAGGCACCACACAAAGTTAAAGTAATATGACTCTGTAGACTACAGCACTAGCCTAGACCAGCGGTTCTTGCAGGGCCCAATTTGACTCCCGGGGGACATTTGGCAATGTCTGAAGATATTTTTGGTTCTTACAATTTATGGACATTGCTATTGTCATCCAGTGAGTAGAGGCCAGAGATGCTACTAAGCGTGGGCAGAACAGTTCCTGACAACAGAGAATGATCTGGCCTCAAATGTCAATAGTATCAAGGCAGAGAATGCTGATTAAGTCAAAGCTTTGCATTACTATTTTTATTGTATTATTACTTTATTTTACTTTTAGTGACAGGACCTCACTCTGTTACCCAGCTGGAGTGCAGTGGTGTGATCACAGCTCATGGCAACCTTGAACTCCTAGGCCCAAGGGATCCTCCTACTTCAGCCTACCAAGTTGCTGGGACTACAGGTGTGAGCCACCACACCTAGCTGATTTTTAATTTTTTTACTTTTTGTAGAAACAGAGTCTTGCTATGTCGTCCAAGCTGGCCTCAAACTCCTGGTCTCAATCTCCTCGCCCTCCTTGGCCTCCCAACGCACTGAGATTATAGATGTGAGCCACCATACCCGGGCTGTTACTCCTTTTAAAATGCTTTTTCTAGACCAGTGGTTCTCAGCCAGGGGTGATTCTGCATTCCAGGGAATGTTGGACAATGTCTGGAGTCATTTTTGGCTGTCACAGCTGGGAGGTAGATATTGGTTATCACAGTCCAGCAAAGCCAGTAAACACCCCACACTGCACAGGATAGCCCATCCCACAAAAGGGAATCATCCAGCCTCAAATATCTAGTGTGCAGAGGATGAGAAACTCTGTCCCAGATGTTTCTCTGTCCCATACTCACTAAAGAACAATTTTTCTTCCTTTTTAACAAACCAAATAAGGACTTGGTGGTTGTCTTTTTGTTTGTTTATTTTTTGTTGTTGAGAGAGGGTCTTGCTCTGTTCCCCAGGCTGGAGTGCAATGGTACAATCGCTGCTCACTGCAGTCTCAACCTGTCAGGCTCAAGCTATCCTCCCACCTCAGCCTCCCAGGTAGCTGGGACTACAGGCATGTGACACCACACCTGACTTTTTTTTTTCTTTTGTATTTTTTGTAAATATGGGGTGTTGACATGTTACCCAGGCTGCTCTTGAACTCCTAGACTCAAGCAATCCACTCACCTCAGCCTCTGGAATTGCTGGGATTAAAGGCGTGAAAGCCACCATGCTCGGACTTTTTTTTTTTTTTAATGGAATTTAGCCTTTCAAAAATGAAGAAATGTCTTTTGGTTTAATAGCCCCAAGCCACGGAGTCCCCAGGTTTGGTAACTCTGTCCCCCAGATTTGTGTAAATGGTTCTTTGCATCTCAGGTAATTGGCTGGGAAGTGGCAGCTGAGAGCTACTTACAACTGAGCCCAAAACCAAATGACACAGCTATTCTGCCCAGCTTTTCTGGCTCCATTTCAGTTTCTGAGTGTTCTCAGGTTATTGTAAAGCTTAGAGAGTACAGAAAAGGAAGGAGGTTTTACATAAGGGAAGCTGCATCCGAGGACACACGGAAGCACATGATGATACCACAAACCAAAAAACAACAGCACCATCGGGTGGTGAAGGCCACAAGAAGTTAAGAATGAACCCTTTTCCACTTGCAATTACATTCTCAGGTCCATAGTCTTGAGATAGAAACTTTTGAGAAAAGGTGTGTGTCAGAATGCAGAATGTTTTGGGTTTTATAAGGTAATGGTGAATATCTCATGTCACATATGATAGCTCAAGCGAAGTCTTGGACAGCAGCCTGTGGTCACCCATGTTAACAGTTTTGCAGTGAGGCTGGGTACAGTAGCTGACGCCTGTAATCCCAGCACTTTGGGAGGCCGAGGTGAGCAGATCACCTGAGGTCAGCAGTTTAAGACCAGCCTGGCCAACATGAAAACCCCGTCTCTACCAAAAAATACAAAAAAATTAGCTGAGCATGGTGGCGGGCACCTGTAGTCCCAGCTACTGGGGAGGCTGAGGTGGAAGAATTGTTCGAACCAAGGAGGCGGAGATTGCAGTGAGCTGAGATCGAGCCACTTCACTTCATCCTGGCAACAGAATGAGATCGTATCAAAAAAAAAAAAAAAAAAGTTCTGCAGTGAAACAAAATGAATACCTATAATCTGTGGGATGAATGAAGACTTTTCACTTTATGTTAATTTTATGTTAGTTGGTTTGAGCTGGTGTCACTGCCAAGTATGTTAGAAAAACTGGGTTTTCAATGTTTTTCTTTTCTATTTTTGGTTATGGACAAAGGATTGCAAACCTGTATTTCTGAAGGCAAGATTTAAAAAGAAGTGGTAAAGTCCTGTGGGCTAACAAGTCAGGTACTAGAAAAGCCACCTATGCTGAACAGAACCTTGGCCAAGTCACTTGGATGTGGATAGCTCCAGAGTTTCCTCATAGGCAGAAGAGGTGACAAGTCGAGACCCAGGGAATGCTTGCCCAATGACCCAGGTCAAACCAGCTGTGACAAGCTCCAGCAAAAACCCTGAGTTGCCTGGCCAGCTGGAAGAAGAGCTGAGAACAGACTCAAAACGATGATCCCCACACCTCTTCCGTGACCCCAGATGCCAGTTCTTATCTGTTTCCAATTTGGTGATCCTACACAACAGACAGTTTTGCCACCCAAGAAACATCTGGTAATATCTGGAGACAAGCTTGGATGTTATAACTCAGCAGTGGGTGGGAAGTGCTGCTGGCATCTGCTGGGAGGAGACCAGGGATAATGCCCAGCACCCCATGGTGCACAGGACAGCCACCACCAGAGTGACCCAGCCCCAAATGTCTGCAGTGCTGAGGTTGAGAAACCCTGCTCTAAGTCAGCTCTGTCTCACACCTTTTTTTTTTTTTTTAAGATGGAGTCTTGGTCTGTCATCCAGGCTGGAGTGCAATGGTGCCATCTTGGCTCACTTCAACCTCTGCCTCCCGGATTCAAGCGATTCTCCTGCCTCAGCCTCCCGATAGCTGAGATTACAGGTGCGCACCACCACGCCAAGCTAATTTCTTTGTATTTTTAGTATAGACGGGGTTTCACCACGTTGGCCAGGCTGGTCCTGAACTCCTGACCTTGTGATCCACCTGCCTTAGACTCCCAAAGTGCTGGGATTACAGGCATGAGCCACTGCGCCCGGCCAGTCTTACACATTTTAAATCCTTATTTCAGGCCAGAGATTGTCATCTGGGAGGAGGATTTTACCTACCGGGAGACATTTGGCAACATCTGGAGATACTGTGGGTTGCTGCATCCTACCATACACTGGACAGCCCCTACAGCAAGGAATCACCCAGCCCCATGTACCAACAGTGCCTCCGTGGGGAAACGCTGGGCAAATTCATCATAAAAGAGAACGTCCCAGTCTCTAGCTCTAAACTAAAAATCTCCCAGTCTTGGAACCACCAAGAGGAACCTGGGCCCCTAAGCCATCTCTGTTCCATCCCCCTGGGCTTTCTCTCAGACCTCACAGTTGAAGGTGCTTCTCCTAATTAGCCCTGTGCCAAGTCTCTGCCCTGAACTTCCTTACTTCCTTCTCACAATAAGCGTTTAATTATCATTGACATTGGTACTTGCAGTATTTATACTGCTTGTTTTCTTTCATAGAAAA